CGGAGCCTGCGGTGCGCCGCGTGAATTGCCCCTTGCGGTGCCGCCGAGAGCGCTCAGCTCCCCTCTGGAGGGAAAGCGCCCGGTAAAGGAAGGTGAGCCTCCCCGCCTGCAGTGCCGCTCGGCTTGGAAGGGGACTTGTAGCACCCTAGTGTCACAGGGGTACTGCTTGCTGCAGGTACGGCCCTCTAAATTTTTTTGGGTGTTGTGTCAAACTGTATGTCTTCTAGGGAAATCTCCTGCTGCGGAGTAATGTACTTCGTCGTGACAGAGGTGAAGGCACGTTGTCCTTGCTCCTTCTGCCTCTGATTTGAGATTTGCATCCAAGTGAAGCTACAGTACTCTTTACGCTGGGTGTTAAAAATAGGTAGTGCCTGTCATCTTCAGAGTTGTTTTCTTCCCAGTGAATGAGCATCGTCAGGTATCGGACCTTCTTGTGGTAGAACACGTTGGCGGTGAAACAAGAGGCATGCGAACTGCTCGTGTCCCAAGTACGCTAAAGTCACTAAGATCCTGTTGTCGCTAACATAAATCTTGCAGAGTAGGCAAACACGTGAGTGTGTTTGGTGTAGGAGGCTTCATAGGTTGACAGCCTGACAATTAAACTCTCTACTGAACTGGAAGTGAAATACTTCATCTTCCCCCCCAACACCAGCAGCAGTGCGCATTATCCTCCTAGGTGAGGATCACCAAACAGAACCAAGTGTGTACGGTGGGGTGGGAAGCACTGCTCAGAGTCCTTTCTGGTCACTGGGTGGGCTGCGTGTGTTGTCTTGGCTGCTGAGAAGGCTGCAGATGGGAAGGAGGAGAGGGAATGCTTTCAGAGGCAGTAGCGGAAAGCACTTGCAGCTTAGGCTAGAAGTTATGGAAGACTCTTGTGTTCTTTAGTGGATCTTTAGCAGATCTGAAGGATTTAATGAAAATATAGTGGTTTTAAGGTGAAAATGTACTTGAATGTGTTTGAAGTGCCTGAGGGTAACTGCTGGCAGGCTTGATGTCTCCAGGTTTATGCTGCATTGCAGCCTTAAGGATTGAGTTTGAAGAACCCCTTGATTTGTCCTGGGCTAACCATTTTACGAATCACGGGTTTGTTTCGTGCCTGCTGAAGCTGATGTGACTCACAGCAGCAGAGCCTGTAATGCAGCAGCTCATGCTGAAGGGCAGAAACTGATTCCTCAGGAGCATTTTTACCTTACTGTATATTTTATCTAGGATTTGACTCCATCCTGTGGAGGAGGTGACAGGTCAAATGAGCTGTTCAAAAACCAAAAGCTGGAAGAGGACAGGCATGAAATGATAATAGCTGCTCTTTGAATCTTGCTTAAAAAGTGTTCTGTGCACTATGTTGATGCATGTTAGGAAACTGTATAGTTGGGTTTTAAATTCCTGGTAGGCAAGAGTTAACTGCCTTAAGTCTGACTAGTCTGACCTTGGCAGCTGCAGTCTTCACAAGTACTTGGGGCAGAAGAAGGTGAGGCCTCAATTAGACTGTAGCTGTCAGGAAGCACCTGGCCACAATAGAAACCTGGAACACTTAAAAAGAGAAAAGTGTATTAATACCAGTTGGAGTTGTGTGACTGTAGAACATATGTAAGTATCTACATACTTCAAAACACAAGTGACTTAAGCACAAGAGAATGATCTGGTCGACTGTGACAAGACTCCTTAAAAAGTACAAAAGTTCACATGAGGCTGTGACCAAGTCCAGTCAGTGAGGTTCTCAAGTCCTTCGTCTTAGAGTAACACTAATGTGATATACATCATCTGAATATATGCCAGCTCTTACAAGCTTGTTTGACCTTCACAAATGAGCAAAAGGTTGGGACAAGTGTGAATATTTCCAAAAAGGTATTTTTTTATGCAATGTATCTGAAGAAGGGTAAAGAGTTGCTTACAAAGATGAGTGCAAATTGAACGGTTGTTATCTAACTTTGCAGCTGAAATTCTGTCCAGGATGCTGAAGTGCTGTCACTTTTTGCAGGAGCAAGGTGTACTTGGCTTTTATCCCATGAGTGGTAGATGCTGGATGGTTGAAAAAGGAAAAACTTCTATAAAAAGGAAGAAATCTTGTATCTCTGGTGTAATTAAAGTGCTTTCAGTGGACTGGATGTCTAAGCCCTGAAACTAACACCTGAGTGTCTTCCATTGCTGTGTTAGTTGGAGAGAGCAGTTTGAGCTTTATGTGTAATGAAGCAAGTTTCAAAGCTTGACTTTCAGAAGTGCTTTGCAGTTATGGCTCTTGCTGGCTTCAGCTGGTGCTGCAGATGATCTTAAACTTAGGCAAAGCTTATGTGTTATCCTCGTTGATAGTTTTGCTTTGACGCAAACTGCTTTGCTGAAGTAGTTAACACTGCCTCACCAAAAAAGCTACAATGACAACTAAATTTTTTGCCTGCACCAATAGAGAAGTTGAGTATCACTTCAGGTGAAAGGCTTGCTGATAATCATTAGTACATAGAATTATTTCATTCTAGTTTGCATCTCTACATGTAGACAGGAAAGCAGAGCATAGGATATATCTAGGAAGTGTAAAAGTCTGACTTGTCTTTTTTTTTTTTTCTTATTCCACCTCCCTACAGTTTCTTTGGAGAAGAAAAAAACCCTAAGATGGCAGGCAAAGGAAGTAACACAGACTGCATGTCATGCAGTGTACTGAACTGGGAGCAGGTCAGCCGTCTGCATGAGGTTCTTACAGAGGTGGTTCCGATCCATGGACGAGGTAACTTCCCAACGCTGAAGATAACTCTGAAGGACATTGTTCAGACTGTTCGGAGTAGGTTGAGTGAAGCAGGCATTGTGGTACACGATGTTCGTCTGAATGGCTCTGCAGCTGGTCATGTCCTGGTCAAGGATAATGGGTTGGGATGCAAAGACCTGGATCTCATTTTTCAAGTTTCTCTTCCAAGTGAGGCAGAGTTTCAGTTAGTTCGAGATGTGGTGTTGCGATCCCTCTTGAATTTCTTGCCAGAAGGAGTAAGCAAGCTAAAAATCAGTCCAGTAACACTGAAGGAAGCCTACATCCAGAAGCTAGTCAAAGTGTATACAGAGTCTGACCGTTGGAGCTTGATATCACTTTCCAACAAACATGGCAGGAACGTGGAGCTGAAGTTTGTAGACTGTATACGACGACAGTTTGAGTTCAGTGTGGACTCCTTCCAAATCATACTGGACTCGCTGCTCTTTTACTATGACTACTCGGAAACCCCCATGTCAGAGCACTTCCATCCAACGGTGATCGGGGAGAGTATGTATGGAGACTTTGAAGCAGCTTTTGATCACCTCCAGAACAAGCTGATAGCTACCAAAAATCCTGAAGAGATCCGAGGTGGTGGGCTTCTGAAATATAGTAACCTCTTAGTACGAGACTTCAGGCCCATGGATAAGGATGAGATCAAAACATTAGAGCGCTACATGTGCTCCCGATTCTTCATAGACTTCCCAGACATCCTGGATCAGCAGCGCAAACTAGAGACCTACCTCCAGAACCACTTCTCCAAAGAAGAGAGGAGCAAATATGACTACCTCATGATTCTGCGCAGGGTGGTAAATGAGAGCACAGTCTGTCTCATGGGACATGAACGAAGGCAGACTCTCAACTTGATTTCTCTGCTAGCACTCAAAGTACTGGCAGAACAAAACATCATCCCTAATGCCACTAATGTTACCTGTTACTACCAGCCAGCACCTTACGTTAGTGATGTAAACTTCAGCAACTACTATCTTGCAAATGCTCCTGTGCCGTACAGCCAGTCCTATCCTACTTGGTTGCCTTGCAATTGATTGTTTCACTTGAGCATTCTTGAGTGGAGGCTACTGAAGGCCAAGATGCTGAGTGTTTATAAAGACAATTAATAACTGTCAGTTGGAGGTTTTCTAATGGAAACATGACTGCATTGGACTGCCGATTTCCTGGTGTGCAGTAGGAGTATGCAACCAGGTGACCTGCTATGAACCTTTCAGTATATCTCTATAAATGCAGAGAAGCCTTATTACCTCTTCGTTAGGAGAAGAGAACCAGCAGCCAAACGTTAGAGGAGTAGTTACAAAACTCGGTACTAGTTCTGGAAATGGCTGTTAATGTGTGATCGGTACTAGTTCTGGAAATGGCTGTTAATGTGTGATCTAAGTGGAGTATTCAGTAAACTGGGTTAGTTAATAGAGGAAAGACTGTAAAATGTCTTGAGCAGAAGCCACTCCTGGAACAGCAACAAAACTCTGCTTTCTGTTGCCTAACCTCATTACTCTATACTTCCTCCATTCAAGTTCTGGCCAACTTTCTATTGAACTAATTGTGCAAGAGTGGGCTTGTGTCATGCTTGGGCTGCTTCTACTTTCTGGCTGTGTAGAACTGGTAACTGTATGGATACTGTCTGTCTTGTAGAGGGCCTTAAATGTTGTTACCTGTAGTACCTAGGGATATATGGTCCTGCCTCAAGTTCAAGATTAATTTCTTGGAAGTTGAAGATGGATTAGTAAGTCTATCTCTAAAGCATAAGCTGGCTAAATCTTTCTTAAGTACAAAAATTTGGAAGGTGGCATCTCTAAACATGCACCAAAACACCATCTAAAACTTGGTAATGTGAGAAGTCCTTGAAATGAGGAATTGAAGCCTTAAATAGAATTGGAACCACGGTTTGAATAGTTAAGACGGAAAAATACTCTTGAGTCCAGGCTCAAGATTAAAGCTTTTCTGACTGCATCTCTCAAAACAATTTTTGGCACAGTTGGAAAGTAGCGCAGCCCTTACACTGAGCTTTGGCCCAACTTTCTTCCTCACAGATCCACAGCAAGCAAAAAAAAAAAAACCGAAAAAAAACCCCAAACCACTGTAAGTTGCAGGATGATGTGCACTGCTGCCACAGTATATAAATTCCTAAAGTGCCTCCTAAAATGAATTTCTTCTTGTACAACTTCAGGCAGGTCCCGAAGGCTTCTCTTTCTGTCACCACTTAAGGGTCAAGCTTACTGGTTTATCACTGTCACCAGTCACGGTATGAGATGGTATTTTGAGTGGTTAGTGTAAAATTCTTCCTCTTTACTGGTCTTAACCCTCACCTGAAGAGGTATCTAAACCCTAAGCAGAGCTCTCCACAGAAGCTGTATGTGTTGAAAGTCTGCCCTTGTTTTCAGAATAGTCTCTGGAAGATTATGTACTCATTTGGAGGTGTAGGGGGCTGACCTTCCTAAGGGGTATGTGCTGAACTTGCTGCTTTGAAACTCCTGTGCTTTTTAAGAAAGGTTAAAAATTCCCCAGTTATGTATATAGTGGTATTAGATACTGGTATATTAACTGGATGATTTTCACTGAATTGCAATAGTAAAATATATACAGCAAATGATCTTGAGTTTCCTTTGCTTAACCAGAGAAGTAGACTAGAAAGGCAAATCTTAGAGCTATTTAATATTTACTGGTGCAATGTTTAAGAATACTTGTTTGCTAAACTTTTTTTATGACTTCTATCTGCCTCTGCAGGCTTGTGAGACCAAAGTGCCTGATCAAACAAATGATTTAAGCTTGGAAGGTAAAGCAGAAAGCGGGTGAAACAGCAATGTACGGTTGCTGTTCAAGGTGGAAAACAGTACTAGTGCAGTACTTAAATGGCAGTAAAAACCTGCCTGTTCCTCATAGGACCAAAAACTTCTAATTACATTGCACTCTCACTTCTCATAACTGCTTCATAAAGACTGCCTCAATAGAGCAGCAAGGCTACTCTTCTGTTCAGACTTCTTCATTTAGCTTAGCAAGGCAGGGAGGGATACCATCTAGAAAGCACACTGTAGCCAAGTATGCTTTAGCTTAATTTTTTTGAACAGTCTTGTAAGCAACTTCGGTAGCAAACAGACAAATAATTTGGTGTCTTCTGTTGTGTTTTTTTCATTAAAGGCTTGCTAAGCAGTCAGCCAAAGTAGCTAACTTGAAAGTGAACCCAGCCTTTTTCATTAACTGTGGCTTGGACTTGGTGTAGCTTACAGACAAGGCATCTCTCACCCAAGACTTTGACTATTTGGAAGTCTTTTTAAAAACTAACATGGTGCCAGCGTTGTCATGTGTGTTAAACTTAGTGCAAGCTTACTGCTGGAATGCAAACCTAGGCATGAATAACTCCTGCAAGCAAGGCAATACTTGGCCTAGTATAGAGTGTCACTAGAAAGAAGTCTTCTGCTTAGGAGTTTGTAATTGCTATCATATCTTAAATAGATGTTTTTAAAGCCAACCTAAGCTATGCCCATTGCAGAAGTAAACCATTGCCTGGAGGGATGTGTTTGATTTGCATACCAAATAGCTTAGACTCATGTAGCTGTCTTGTGCAATCTCATGGCTGATCTTTAGAAACTCTTCCTGTGCATCAGCTCACATGGAAGAAGTGGTCAGATGCTCAGGAGGAGTCCTCACAAGCTTGAAACAAACAGACTTACTAGTCTTCGAATGCCTTGGCTGCTGACCATCAGGCCAGGTGCATCTATTGGAAAAGGAAGTGCTAGAAAGAAGGCTCTAATGGATTCCTACTGAGACAGAGCTATGGAGAAAAGCTTCCTGCCGTAAATACTGTGCTTTTGCTAATGTAACTGGTTGCTGAGGCCTCTAAGGAAGCTTTACATTGAATGGCTGCTCTCTGAACAGCTGACTTCCTGGGTTTAAGCTTTGCAGGACTACTGTGTTCCTGTCTGTCTCTTAAGTTGCTCTAGCATATTAGAAATACTGATGCTTTGTAGCCTGGCTGCTAGATGTTAAGCTCCTGAATAGTAAATTGTATCCTGAAGCTGCACACTACCTACTGCATTGGCCCTACTGTATAAGAGATTGCTGGGACACTGTTTGTCTCATTGCCTTCAAAATAATCCTGGCTTGGCAGGTAAAGCTGGAATACTAAATATCTCTTCATCACTGTGTTGCAAGCAGGCTACCCCTTTCTGTTTTGAGTTGTCCTAGCAGCCTGATGTTGCATGTGGCAGTGGCTTTATTTGGTGTGTGCTAGCTGGTTCGAGTTCAGGTTTATGATGGCCCCTGTAGCAAGGAGTAACATGAGGATGAGCGCTTGGTAAAAGTTAAAAGTGATGACCCTAGCCCAAGTCTAGGCTTCCTGCTTGATTCTGTCTCCCTTCAGTACTTAATGATGCCTCTGCAAACCTGCTCTATCCTCTGTTGCTCACTTGTGTGTCAAGTGGAGGTTAGAGAAAGACTACTATACTTCAGACTATTACCCTAATGCATTCCCTCTGGGCAGTGGTGTCAAAACAAAGCTGCAGTAACACTAGACTGCAAGTCCTGTATCAGTGCATCATTCCTCAGGACTAGGCTTCTAGTAAACCAGGCTGTGTGGTTTAAAATAGCTGTTTTCTTCCTGTAGCTTATAAGCTCTACTGGGCTAAGCCAGTCTGACGTTAAGCATCTGTAGTCAGTATCTATTGCCAAGTCCCACTGGACCTACAGTTTATTGGTGTGACTTCCTCACTGTAAGATAGATTTTTTTTTTTATTTGATAAAGATGCTACCAAGGCGACCTAGTAGTAGACTGGAGTTTAGTCACCTTGGTAAAATCCCTATGCTGATCCATGGTCACTCTGAAAAGTTGTAACATAAAGCATACTTCCTGTTCCCTCAGCTCAACACTTAATTGTTTCTGTGTTTGTCCTCAGCTAGTTCAGTCAATCACTAAGCTGGAGGTTGAAAACTACTGCTTGCTTTTGAGTAACCATTTTTCAAAAGATCCTCACGCTTTAACATTAATAATCTTGTCTACAAAGCAGTAGGTAGTATTTAAATCTAGTCCAAATACCTAAAGCTTTTTATTGAAACCTAAAGACCCATATTTTGGGTTTAGACCCATATTTGGGATTGAGTTCTGGGGTTAAGCATTTGGTATGTTTTGTGCCTAGGCTTTGTGGGTTTCTGATCACTAGAATAACTACTAATGTTGGTGGTGATCTCTCGTTATCACTAAATGAGTGCTTGGGAAAAGGCTCCTTAGAGAATTGGACAAATGCTTCACTTCTAAGCTGTCAGTGTACTGATGGTACTTGTTTACTATCCCTCTCGCTCAGCTCATTCAATCAGGGTGCCATAATTGTTAGGCACAAGGAATAAGCAATAAGTTGACCATAGTCACTAGCAACTTGGTCTAATTTGGGCACTGCGAGAGCCAAATGGATAGTAATACTTCTAGCCTTTGCATCTAAGTCTTACTCAATCATTTGTTAAATATGGTGAAGTGTATTTTGTATATGTTCTTTAATTTCAAAAATAGTTATAAGGTGGGATGCTGGGCTATAGTTGTAGAAGCTCTGGGGGGAATGGTTGGAGCACTCTGGTTTTTCTCACTCCTATTGGAAGAGAAGGCCACTCACTGAAGTGTCTGGATTGGGCTTGTCTCTGATTAAAATTGCACTTTCTGTTGAAATTTAGAAGGCTTTTTTTTCCCTATGTTTATCTCTCATACTATTTTTTTACTATTAAAAGAAGTCAGCTCTTGGAAAATCTGTTTCATACCTCTTTGGAAGAAGTGAGTCTTTTTTTTTTTTTTTTTTTCTCTTAAGCTGGCAAAACAAGGTACTAGAAATTCTTGGATTTGTGATGAGCCCAAATGTGAGATTAGTCACAGTAACTTTGTCTACTGTTCTGCACTGTGGTGTTCACTTGTCATTCTTGGAAATTGGGTTTTGGACCTTAATGATTCTGAAATTCTTGTGCAAATAAACTTACGCTAAACATTGCTTGCCTCAAGTAATTCTTGCATCTAAACAGTGCTGACAAAGTATTTGTGGAGCTTATTGGCCAATGGTGTGTAGATACACTGGTGGGGGGAGAAATAGTGATGGTATACACAGTAATGCTTGGGTTTAGATGTTATTCAAGGTACTCTTATTCCTCATGAATATACACATCTGCCTCCACATCTGCCTCAATTTAGTGAAGGTTAGTCAGTTAAGTGAGACATGATTCATCTTTCACTTACATTACAGTGACAGTTTCTAGAGAACCATTTTTGCCCTCTCTGACCATTATCTGGTCTCAAGCTGACTTTAAAACATGTTGAGGCACAGTCCTAGGCCTGTGAGTGTCTGGTTTGAGCTAGAGCCTGCCAGTCTGTTCTGATGCACTCCATTTTGTATGCTACTCCAAGTCAGGGGCCCCTGCATACCTCATCTCATGAGCCAAGG